ACCAACCAGTCACATGAATTTGAGAACCAAAATAGGAAAAAATTATTCTTACTCGGTATCACAGTTTGGGTATTAATATGAAATGTAAAGTCCTATATGGTACGTGGCATGGAAACCAAGCATTTAATAAACATTAGTACTGAATGAATCTGGTGACCTGCCTTGGTTTTCAAACCCATATAGGGTCACTATGGGTCGGAAGTGACTCTATGGCAACAGGCAGGGGAAAGTCACCCTCCAGTCAGAAATGACCTCGATTAAGAGCAAACAGAGAGAGTTCCCCTCCATCCAGTAGCAGAGCAGCCTCTATCTGACCAATGCTTTGCCAGACAACTACAAACTGGACAAAACAGAAAAGACACGCATCTGAGAGCACTGCAGGGTCACCCAAAAGGAAGCAGAAACCAGAGGGGACACCTGGAAGAAGGGAACGTTCCTCAGTGAGCTTCCTGTTCTCTGAATGAGCTTGTGCCCGATGGCGTCACTGGGCAGATGAAATTCGAAGAGAAATCTGCAAATCTATTAGTTGAAGAATCAGAAGACAGTATGGGGTGATGACAGCAAATGACGGGGAAGTCCCAAATTCTGCATATAACTTGCTCAAACTTCTAGCTGGCCTGTAAACTACATGCGTGTAAGACAGACAGCAAGCAGCCAGCGGAGACCAGACAATGTGCAGCTGCTGCCCACACCGAGGAGACAGGAGCTCTGAGTTTAGGCAAGTTAACTGCCAGCTAAAACAATCTGAATACTTCAACGGCAGTTTATCATACAGAAATTACACCTCAATAAAAGACAAAACAAAGAAACTTTCAGATAAAAGAACTACGAGACTCTGCAGCCATAAAACCTACGGTTCAAGTTCTTCAGGCTGAAGGGAAAGGATAATGGATGAAAGCTGAGTTCAGGAAGAAACGGACAATGTGTGAACACAGACGAGATGTTTTTCTTTCTTTCTTTAAAATACATATAACTGCATACACAAAAATCACGTACTGTGGCTTCCCGGCCCATCTAGACGGAATACAAGTGACAAGTACAACGCAGACCACACAGGTGGAAGAGTCTTCAATTTTACAGGAAGTGGTACAATACTAACAAAAAGTAGACTGTAAAAAGTTCCCAGGAGGAACCACTAACACAAAGAGACAGAGCTGAAAAGGCAACAAATACATTAAGATGGAATTTTTAAAAATATCCAATTAATACCAAAGGGAAAAGAGGAGACACAAAAACCAAATGGTAAAAACAGAAAACAGCAGCGAAACAGTAGACCTTAATCCAATTTTAAAAGGCCAAAAGATGTGAACCCCACAATGGAAGATTACCAGTAAGAAGATGCGAAAGAACTGAACACTATCGGTTATCAAGGAAATGCGAATTAAAATTACAACGTGATACCCCCAGAATGGCTAAAATTATAAAGACTAACAATCAACGGTTGGCAAGGACGTAGAGCAACTAAAATGCTCACACACTGCTGGTGGGAGTGTAAAATGGTAGAATGCTTTGGAAATAGTCTGGCAGATTCTAAAAGGGTTAAA